GTATTGACTTACTACTTGATGAGATTTGCGGAGTCTGATGAGGGGGCTTCAAGAGCTTCGTGGTTGGTGTTGGTAGTCGAGACCTCGGGCGTCAAATCACTGACTCTAATACTTAATATTTAAACAAATAGCAAACGGAGTGCGCCCGAGACTCGAACTTGATCGTTTTTAAATAAATTGAATAATTTATCCTTGGAATAACTCTTGCGACCGACTTTAGGAACTGGTGCGACAGGACCCTCAGTAATTGGTAACGAAGAAGAGAAGACAAGACAAGCTCAAAAGACAAAAGAAAAAAGACGCTCAGGACCGCGGAACTGTGGTTTATATAGCGGTTTTTCCTAATTAGTGGGGTTTTTAATTATACCTAAATTTAGGTAGTGGAATGACTTTCGGGATTTTGGATTGGTCGAGATTATGGGGGAGGAAAGAAGTCGGTTGGTATAAACAAGTGTCATCTTAGTTTATGACTTTCTTAAATTTATGGGAAAATGCACGTGCACCGATTAAGACGAGCGCACGTGCACTGTCGGCACGCGCCCATCACTTTCCCTGGACTTCGCATGTCACATTTATATTTTATGGTCGCGGACATCGTGAGAATCGTCCGCGACTTGGTTGTCAGAAAAATGTTTAGGCGCCAGTACTGACATTAATTGCCGTTTTTAATGGCGCTGTTCAAGGGAAGTGTCATCGGTGGTGCATTAGCTCCCTGCGTTCACCGATTCCAACTCTATTTTATTTGGCGTTAATGGAGACACTGGAGTCCTTTACTTTAAACTTTCTCATGGGAAAAGATTTTTATTACTTTTCCTAGAAGTCTTAGGTGGTTGATAACCCCTAGTTCTCCGTGAGTAAGAGAAAAGAGGCAGCGTGAGTCCGCTGGAGGTAACAATTCCAATAGGTTTAGCGATTGAAGGAATTGTAAAAAGATGGGACTTAATAGCAAATCACATAACTTTACCAATAGATGAATTTATTAATTCTGTAAAATTAATCTTGAATTTAACATATTTTCAATTCGATAATAAATACTACAAACAGATATTCAGTATGCCTATGGGATCTCCACTCTCTCCAGTTATATTTGACTTAGTTATGGATGACATTGAAAGTAAAATCCATTCTACGATTCACATCGATATACCCATGTATTTCAGATATGTGGACGATATTTTATTAGCATTGCCTAAAAATCAAATAAATCAATCTCTAGAAATATTTAATACTCAACATAAGAATGAAATTCACACTGGAAGAATATGAGGATAATAGAGTGAACTTTTTTGGACATAACTATAAAAGTAAAGGATAATAAGATCATCTTTGATTCACATAAAAAATCTACGAACTCAGGAAGGTTTCTAAATTATCACTCGAACTATCCTATTGTACATTAAAAAGGTGTTATTACGTCATTATTGGACAGAATTGTATTCCTGTCACATCCAAGCTTTCACAAAAAAAAAATATAACAAACATGACAGACACTCTATTAAATAACGGTTATCCATTAGATTTTCTATTTAATACAATAAATAATAGAATCAAATCTTTAATTCACAAAAATTATTACACGTATACAAATCAAAATAAACCTATAGATATTAATATTAGAAAATTTTATACTTTACCACATGTCAATAATTTAACCGAAAAATTTAAGAATGTATATAGGAAATACAACATGAATATTGCACATAAACCTACTAATAGTGTTGTATAGTAGCACCGCCACGGTGTGAGTATAGAGGGCGCGACGACTGCGGTTACCGACGGGGGACAGCAACTCTATAATAATGTTGTCTATATAGAGATATCGTAAAAACGCTATTGTATTACATCACATCACACAAGTTGAGATACTAAATATATTATACACTTATATCAGTAATAGCCGGCACGTGTAGTTCATTTAGTGCGAAACACAACATTTGGCGACGAGTATTCTGATCGTACAAAAACCCACAACAAAAAGACAATTTAACACGTACACGTGAGGTTAGAAACACGATGCCGGTCGGAAAAATATTTGAATTCAACCCAAATACAGACGATTTTGAATCATGGGCAGGAGTCCTCACAAATTATTTGCTAGCAAATGAGATTGATGAAGCTAGAGGAGATGCAGCTACGAAAAGGAAAGCAATAGCCATCTTACTATCATCAATAGGCGTGTCAACGTATGGACTTCTTCAAAGCTTAGTTTCGCCAGCCAAACCAGAGGAAAAAACATTTGTAGAGCTTATTGAAGTACTCAAAAAGCATTATAAGCCTGCACCAAAAACAATTGCAGAGAGATATAAGTTTTATAAACGGATTCAACAGCCAGGAGAGTCAATAAATATCTATCTTTCCGAGCTGCGTAAAATAGGCGTAACATGTAAGTTTACTGATTTAAATACATCACTAAGAGATCAACTTGTCGTAGGTATTCGTTCTGAAGCAGTACAAAAACGTTTATTTCTTGAGGATGACAACCTAACCTTAGATATGGCTGTCAAAATCGCTACTAGTCAAGAAGCAGCCGATAGTAGTACCCAGTTAATACGGCACAATAGTAGTCTTACTACCGTTATAGATCAGACTAATAAGGTTAAATCTCATCACCTAAACAATATCAGTATACGAATAAAAATCCTGTCAAAATTAAGCAAGGAAAATTAACATGTTCCGGTTGCGGAGGGAAACATATAAAAAAAGATTGCCCACATAAGGAAGTTATTTGCCATCGTTGTAATAAATCCGGTCACTTTGCACGTCGATGTCTATCACAGCCTAAAGGTGAAGGAGGAGAAGGGAAGCATAAAACAAATCAGATTAACAACGTCAAACAAGTATCGCATGATAGTCCTATCATGATTAACGTTCGTTTAAACGGAATTCCAATGGATCTGGAATTGGATACTGCATCAGGTACGAGTTTTATTACACCTTATGCATGGAAAAAGTTAGGCTGTCCCAAACTCCATCCAAGTAACAAAACTTTTAAAACATATACTGGACAAAAATTTGAATCAAGAGGAACATTTCTTTGCACTATTGACCACAATCAACAGACAGTTAGTCATCAAATTCATGTTTTGGAAGGGTCTTGTCTTTTTGGCCGTGATCTATTAAGAAAAATTCAAATAGACTGGACTAGAATTAAAAAACAATGTTCTAAGATATGTCGCATTAATAATGAATTATCATTAACTACATTGTTAGAGGAATTCAGCGATGTTTTTGATAAACCGGTCGGAACTATTAAGGATTTTAAAGCCAAGTTGATACTTAAAGAAGATGCTACTCCTCGCTTCTTTAAATCACGTCCCGTTCCATTTGCTTTGCGAGACAAAGTAGATGAAGAACTTGAGAAAATGGAAAAATCCGGTGTCATTAGTCGTATTGAAACATCGGAATGGGCTTCGCCATTAGTAGTAGTACCAAAACCTAATGGAGCGATTCGCATCACAGGAGATTTCAAGCGTACCATAAACAACCAATTACATGTTCAACAATATCCGCTCACAAGAGTCGAGGAAATATTTGAGAAGATTTCAGGTGGTCAAACTTTTACTAAATTGGATGGTCCAGATGCATTTCATCAAGTGGAAGTAGAAGAATCATGTAAGAAGTATTTAGTCATAAATACCCATCGAGGCCTCTATAGGTATAACGTACTACCTCAAGGTATTGCATCTTCACCGGCAATTTTTCAAGAATTAATAGATCGAATGCTCAAAGGAATTCCGATGACAGGATCATTTGTGGACGACACGATTTCTACTGGAAAAGACGATCAAGCTCATTTGCAAAATCTTAAAATGATATTCTAACGAATGAGGAAGTGGAATTTTCGTCTATCAAAGAAAAAATGCATATTTATGCAACAGTCAGTCAAGTTTCTTGGACAAATTTTGTGTGCAGAAGGAATATGTACAAACCCGGAGAAAGTGGAGTCAATTATGTCCATGAGGGAGCCCAGAGATGTAAAGGAAGTAAAATCCTTTCTAGGTTTAGTAAACTTTTACAGTAAATTTATTAATAATTTGTCACATCTCTGTGAGCCATTGAATAAATTAACACGTGATGGCGTTATTTGGAATTGGAATAGTCAATGTAAGGAAAGTTTCAGGAAAATTAAAAAATCTGTTTCAAGTGCTCCTGTGTTAGCACATTATCAGCAAAACATTCCTATTGACATAGCATGCGATGCATCATCTGTCGAAGTTGGAGTAGTCTTGTTTCATCGTCACGAAGATGGAAGTGAACAACCGATTTCTTTTGCCTCTAAACATTATCACCTGCCGAACGCAATTACTCCCAAGTAGAAAAGGAAGCTTTAAGTATTGTATTTGGAGTAAAACGCTTTATTCAATATTTATATGGACGTCGCTTCATATTAATTACGGATCATAACCCATTACTTGCAATATTTAGTCCACCGTGAACCGTGAACTACCATCTTTAGCTGCAACTAGATTACACCGTTGGGCCATATTCCTATCCAGCTTCCTGTATGATATTGAGTATCGAAATACTCATCACCATAGTAATGCAGATGCATTATCACGTCTACCACTCGAAGATAACCAGCCAGTAGACACTATAGTGGAAGAGGAAGTTAAAGCCATTATAAAGGAACATCCAATATCTTCAAGCTCGATAAAGCTGAAAACTAGTCGTGATCCTACATTGTCAAGTGTTATTCGGTTCATTAAAAATGGATGGCCCAATAAGCAGTCTCAACTATCAGATAAATTGAAACCTTACTTCATTCATCGAGAGGAACTGACAGTAGAACAAGGAATTGTTATGTGGGGTATACGAGTTGTTGTTCCTGAATCGTTACGTCAACAAATCTTGGAACAATTACATGAGACACATTCTGGAATTGTCCGAATGAAATCTTTAGCTAGAAGTCATGTATGGTGGCCAGGAATAGTTAGATATAGATTCACTTGTAAAATCATGTGTGTCATGTGCAGTTAGCCATGGCAATCCTGCCACAGCACCGCTTCACCCCTGGTCATTTCCTGAGAAATCATGGCAACGATTACACATAGATTTAGCAGGTCCTTTTCTTAACAGTATATGGTTAATAATTGTGGATGCTTATAGTAAATGGCCAGAAGTATATAACTTGGGAAATGATTCATCTTCAGCTCATATTATCCAATGTATGAGAGAAAGTATTGCACGCTATGGTATCCCTGACACCATAGTTTCCGATAATGGTCCCCAATTCGTGTCAAGAGAATTCGAGGAATTTTGCAAGAAGAATGGTATTCGCCACACCAAGTCAAGCGCCTACCATCCTCGAAGTAATGGGGAAGCTGAACGATTTGTCCGAACATTCAAAAATGGCATGAAACGAAGTAATTATGCACAAAAGGATAACTTGGAATTGTGTAATTTCTTGTTTAATTATCGATCAATAATAATAATAAGCAAGCCCATCAAAGCCAATCATCAGTTAGTCGGATGTACAATTTATTTTCGTGTAATTAAACAAGTCATATCACAATTTTAATAAATAAACGTTTCGACCCCTATTTTTGGGTCCTTATCAATATAAAATACCCTAAATCCGCTTACATACTATACGCAATTTCCAAAAAAAAAAACGACCAGCTCATTCTTCTTTATCCAATTACAAAATTAGCTGTGTAACGAAAACTCACGTCAGTATAGCACACACACCAGCATCAAATTTAATATATGTCAAAATGTATATATACTGCACATACTATCAACCCGGTACAATAATACTAAAAATTGAAATTATAAAAATTGAAATTTACGTATGCAGTCGTATTCATTATGTTAAATTGTATAGAACTTATATAAACTGTGAATTGCGATTAAAGACCAGAATAATGCGTTAATATTTAAAATACTGAAATTAATACAATAGGAAAGTTACCTGAATTAAGTAAACGTACCGTTATTACATAATAATCTTAATTTGTAAAGTGATGTGAAATTTAAATAAATAATCTTACATCCATATATGAATAAATACAATGATAAACACTTACATAAAAAGAGAACGACTCCAGTACATTATGTCAAAAGGGTAGAACACATTGCTCATCAAATGTCAGATATCCTGTGTAATCATTCACGCCAAAGTAAAAACCGATTAAAAAAA